TCTAATAATTCTCTGTTGTTTACTGCAGTTATGTACAACTTGAAATGTTTACTGCCAAGGACTGGCTATTGATTTTCTACAATGCAGAATGGACTGCAATGTGCTTAGAGTAAAAGTCTCATTATTTCTTATTGATGTGATAGACACTGGTTTGTTTTCATGTTCTGCTTGTGCTGTGAAACAGACAAAAAGACTTTATTTTGGTCAATTTACTGCTGGCAGACAAATGAACTAAACAGGCTGAGAGGGAGAGCTTGTTTTAATTGGTGACTCTGATGTTGCAGGTGAAGCCTTTGATTTGGATTGAGTCCGTCATCGAGAAGTTCTCACACAGCAGAGTGGAGATCATGGTGAAGGTACAGTAGTTTCGCAGTACCAAAGGCCTTAAAACTGTTACTCAAACCAGTTACTGTACATCTCACCTTATGTGTACTTGGCATATACTGAAAGGGCACAGATAATGAGCTATATTTTATTACACAAAATAGGAAAATTACACGCCTTTATTATAATTTAATTATTTAAAAACAAATGTTTATAAATGAGCAATACTATTTTTTTCTCATAAACATGGGAGTAAAAATGACTGGATACCCTACATTTTTATTGTGTTTTGAATACTTACGGTATTAAGAGAGTAAGTGCATCATTCATGCTGTAAGAGTGAGAATCAATATGCCAGGCATTCCCCTGAAATGTTTTCCTCTAATTGTCAGCTGTTTTCCTGTTGTCCTGTTATACTCAGGGGGTGTCAGCTGACACCTATTAGTAACCCTACAGCGGGAAGTCACGGTGTCGTGAATCAGCAGGGCTGTGTGGAATTCAGATCTTGTAACAAAGATGTGAACTCAAACAATAAAGCCAAACACACACATTTGAGGATCATAAAGCTGAGAACGATCTAGGAGGACAGCGATCTTTGTCCCCACCTCGGCAGTGGTAGACACTGCAAGCAGTGAGGTTCGTTGTGGTCGGAAGTGGAACGTCTTGGTGGCAGCAGCTGAAGCTGAAAGCCTGACTTAACATTTTATGCCTCTGATTCATTTCTAAACGAGCAGTAGCATCCTCTAGCGACTGTGTCCGACCCCCGAGTGCAGCCCTACTCCACTCATCCAGCCATTTTCGAACTGCTTTTTCCAATTTAGGGTCTTCCCAGGGGGAACAAGAGCCTATCCTGGCAAGCCACGAACACAAGGCAGCGTACACCGTGGACAGGATGCCAGTCCATCTCAATGCAGACACAAAAACACTCGCGCCAATTAACCTTACAGTATATCTTTGGACTGTAGGAGGATACCGGAGCACCTGGAGGAAAACCATGCAAACGGAGGAGAACATACCAACTTCACACAAATAGTACGCTGGGAACTGACTTCAGGGCCCCAGTGCTGTGAGGCAGCAGTGCTAACCACTATGCCCCTATGCATGAAACACTTACCATCTATATCTACTGTGTATAAATGCTGACTTTACCCTTACTCTGGAAGTGAACTCAGGGCCCCAACCCTGAGAGGCAGCAATGCTAACCACTGTACCACTGTGCCGTCCAGCTGCACTACTGTCCCACTGTAACGTACACGTACAGTGTGCACTGTGAATGTGTGTTCTTCCATAAACTGCATTGTCCTGTTTTGGTCCCTACTGTCCCCTCCCCCCCCCACTTCTCTGATGCAGGCAAAAGGCCAGTTTAAGAGACAGTCTGTCGCCAACAATGTGGAGATCAAGGTGCCAGTGCCCAGTGATGCCGACTCTCCCAAATTCAAGACCAGCACGGGTCACGCCAAGTATGTGCCCGAGCAGAACCAGGTGGTGTGGACCATCAAGTCCTTCCCGGTAAGCTTAGCTCATGGCAAACCACAGCACTGGTACAACTGGGAAATCATGGCCGGTGTCGGAGGGTGTCCAGGGGAATGCTATGCACTTGGCATGTTCAGTCAAACCTGCTGGTGCCCGGCTCAAGACATATTAAAATGCGCGGTTCAAGAGTGCCCCTGGAAAGCTGGTGGCGCAAGCAGCACGAGGCTGGATTGGAGACGAGGAAGATCACCGACAAAATGGACATAACGGAGCAAAAAAGAGAAATGCACGTTAAAAAATTCAACACTTCCATTAAGTCTTAAGTCCTACGGTGGCAGCTGAAGGGAAACTACTGAAAGGCACAGAAAATGACCCTTGTTAGGTCATCGGAACTTGGCAGCATAAGACCCCACTTTTATTAAGACTCTTACATGAAGTACATTGAGATTAATTATAATGAGAATTATTATTATTAATATCATTATTATTATTATTAAACCAGGGTTTCCCTAAGGACTAGAGATGAAAAAGCCTCTAACGCTGTCAGCTAGAGCTCTCTTCAGTCCACTGGCAGTCCAGCTTGCCTGACTGTCTGCTCCTGTGTCTCACTCCTCACCCAGGGAGGGAAGGAGTTCCTGATGCGCGCGCACTTTGGCCTGCCCAGCGTGGAGAACGATGAGGCGGAGGGAAAGCCGCCCATCACGGTCAACTTCGAGATCCCATACTTCACTGTGTCTGGAATCCAGGTACATTTATACAACCACTCCCCCCCCAGATCAAGACCGAGAGACCACATTGATGAAACGCCCATCCATCCATTTGCTAACAGCTCAGGGTACACCCTGGATGGAACAGCAGTCCGTCACCGGTGGACAGACACACACACTCACACCAGGGCCAATTGTTCCAGAAGCCAGTTAACCTACCAGTAGGTCTTTGGACTGTGGGAAGAAACCAGAGCATTCATGGAACAAATTTTACCATCAACATCTACAATGTATAGATGGTGACCTTACAATCTTCATAAAAATCTTGCACCTTGTGGTTTAATTTAAATTCTAATCAATGCTAGTTCAATAAAGAAACAAAAACCTACCATGTATTAACTTCTTGGGGCTCTTGCCCAAATCTCTAAGGACCCACCATTATCCCCACACAAACCTGGAAAAGCAGAACTTTTTTGAAGAGACCAAATAGTAATGGAGTTTGTTGGTAATAAGCTACATTCTCAGAACGCCTTGCCCCCTTGACTAGCTTTGGAAAGCTGACAGTTTGTTGTACTTGTGTCAAGTTTATACCTGTGTTTTTTCCCAAGAAAATCACATGAGGGTGTTTCAGCTCATGAGTTTTGTAGAAGACTTATCGTAGAGACCCTGTTAGTTCTGAAAAGCTGTTATGAACAGGTCCCAAATCTCTCTCATTAATCTGCAGTTGCTGTCTGACTGGGTGATGTTTTGTTAAGTACCACCGGTGGGGGTTTTGATCCCTGTCTTCTTTGCTGGGCAGGAATGTGACTAACGGCGTGCGTTTCTGTCAGGTGCGGTACATGAAGATTATTGAGAAGAGTGGCTACCAAGCCTTGCCCTGGGTCCGATACATCACGCAAAGCGGAGGTACGATGTGCTTTCTTACACGATCCCTTTCATCATTCACTCATCCATCCATTTTCTAACCATTTCTTCCAATTCATGGTCATGAGGGAGGTGGGGCCTATCCCAGCATGCAACTGGCACACGGCAGGGTACAGCCTGACTAGGGCGCCAGTCCATTGCAGGGCACAGAAAGACACAGACACACATGCACACTCACACCAGGGTCCATTTTCCCAAAAGCCAATTAACCTACCAGCATTGTGGGAAGAAACCCATGTGAACATGGGGAGAACATACGAACTCCACACACACAGCGCTCGAGGAGCTGAACCCAGGGCCCCAGTGCTGCGAGGCAACAATGCTCACCACTTCCCCACCGTGCCACCCACCTTCACATATCCTTGGCATCATTTTATTTTCACACCTCTTAATTCACTCATTTATTTTACATTTCTTGTGGCTTGACAAAACCATTTAACAGCTGGTGCCATTGGTTACCACAGTTCCTTTCACTCTCTTGCATGGAAAGAGATGGTTGGTGTGTGAACTGAGGAGTTTGTTTCTTGTGATCAATGCGTCTGTCTGTCTCCCATTGTTGGTCTCTGTGCTGCTGGTTTTTCACCAAATGAGTCAGTGGGTGTGTGAACAGGATATCTCTCACTTCCTGCCTGATGTGAAAGTCAGCACTTTTCTTTATCTAATGCATTTTGAGGAAAGAAAAAAATTGTCCTCAACAGGCTTTTAATAATAATAATAATCATAATAATTGCATATATAGCGCTTTTCTGGACACTCCACTCAAAGCGCTTTACAGGTAATGGGGATCCCCTCCACCACCACCAATGTGCAGCATCCACCTGGATGATTTGACGGCAGCCATAGTGCGCCAGAACGCTCACCACACATCAGCTATCAGTGGGGAGGAGAGCAGAGTGATGAAGCCAGTCCATAAATGGGGATTATTAGGAGGCCATGATTGGTAAAGGCCAGTGGGAAATTTGGCCAGGATGCCAGGGTTACACCCCTACTCTTTTCGAGAAACGCCCTTGCATTTTTTAAATGACCACAGAGAGTCAGGACCTCGGTTTTATGTCTCATCCGAAAGACGGCACCTATTTACAGTATAGTGTCCCCGTCACTATACTGGGGCATTAGGACGCATGCATTAGCAGCCTTAGTTTTTCCCAGGAGATCTCCCATCCAGGTACTGACCAGGCTCACACCTGCTGAGCTTCTGTGGGTTGCCAGTTGTGAGTTGCAGAGTTGCATTTTAAGAAATGAAGAGCAGAGAGGATGAAAATGGAGTTTGAAAAGCAAACCATGTTATTTGAAATCTCCCATTTATTTCAGATTACCAGCTGAGGACCAACTCCTAGAAATATTCCCTGGGCAAAAGAGTCAAGGACCTGCGGTTTCATTGAACAAGCGACCAAAACGGTGCCTTTGTATTTATAAAGAGCAAATTTCTCAACTTTTTTTTTTAAATGCATAGATTTTGAATGATTTGATTGTGTAGACCCGGCCTTCCTCCCCTACTGTCTCCCCTTAGCCATCCACCCAGGGCTGCCTCAGCACGGCTGCCCTCCTGGTCAGCTTGTCTGCATGCAGTGCTTCGGTACAGCCAAGCCCTTACGAGTCCTGTGACCCTCCTGGTTATCAGATAAGTGATGTGGGAACTGGATGGAGCCCAGTTAAACACTGGACTGGAGAGGCATGATTGCAAGCTGAGCAGCCCTGCTGTCCAGATAGATATTTTTGTGATCATTTTAGGTCAGGGTTCTGGAAGGCTGCTGTGCTCATAACTGCCCATTTCCACTAATTATTGTCTTAATTGAACCATGTTAACGATTCCCAAATCATTAAGGCAGGGATTTCCACTGCTGGTCCTTGTCCTTGTCTGGTGGTTTTCATTCCAGCTGGACTCTTAACAGGCTAAACTGAACTTGTAATTTAATTAGACCACAATTCAATTTAATCTTTGCCGCTCCTTAAAAGTTGCAGCTTGCAAATTACTCAAGAAAGTTTTGCAATTCTTTAAATACGTCAAATGCTGGGGCACAAATAATTGAGCTAGAACCAAAATCTGGCAAACTGTGGTCATAAGGATCTGGAGTGAGGAGACCTGTATTAGAGTATCCAAGAGCAAGGGTGTGAGACTCCACTCCTTGAGGGCTTAGTATATCCTGGTTTTTGTTGTACCCAAGCTCTCAGTTTCATAGAGGTATCTGTTTTTAAATACACTATAAGCTTTGCAAATGGGTTGTAAGAACTGAACAGTATCCACTTCAGCCTGCCTGTAGTGCTATTGTAACATATACAGTATATTTTTACTTTCAAGAAATGTGAGGAAGAAAGGAAATGCTCCCTGTTTTGGCTTCAGCGTCCAATTAGGCTTTAGTTTGATTCCATTGATTAATTTAGGAAGGCAAGGGGTTGGAATCTGCTAAACTCTAGATCAGGAGTCACAAACTCAGTCCCTCGAGGGGCTCTGTGTCGTCAGTTTTTTTTTGTTTCAACCCTAGGAGCTAATTAATTAACCTGATTGTTTTCAAAATTAAACCTATAGAGGATTTTTTAAGATTAATTACACAAGACACATTAAAGGTGCAGTTACCTATAAACTGCCTTGTTAGATGCCATTTTGTAGGAAGTCACATACTGTTGCTTTGATGGTGTTGGTTGTAATTTTGCTTTGATTCTAATCGAGTGATTGTAAATAATACTGTGTGAGTCTTGAGCGTTGTTAAAATTACACAGAAGCCTGCATGATTACCAGATCATTTCTTTCCAGACTTTGTTTGTGTAAAGCTTAGTTTTTTTTGTGTAATTTTAACTAAAATTAAAATACCGTAATAACCAATGGAAAAAATAACGTACATGTATGTGGCATTCTTTCAGACTAAAACATTAAGAAATCCCCTACTGCACTACTTGTAGAACTAACGCTATTCCCGAATGTAAACGTTAATAATAAACAGATCATGTTTTATGCATAGGCAGACAGTCGAGAATATAACGATTATAATTTAAGTATTTAAAGGCTCATGTAGTCTGAGATATAATTTAGGGTGTGAAATGTCAGCAAATGCACAGGGCGTTATGAACCGCCTTTTTTTCTTTGCTTCGTAGGAGCTTGTAATTCAAGTTCTTAGCGGTTTAGTTCTTCTGCCGTATGAATGAACTTGCTTAACTACTCCGTTTAATTGAATAGCCCGCCTTCTCATATTCGTTTCCTATTGGTTCATTGTTCAATCGTTACGAGGTGATACGATGACCGTCAAACTCCGTCTCCGCCTTTTTTGCCTTATTTGGAACCACATTTTCCCGACAGTCGGCGATGATTGGCGGAAGGTGGAGTTTTCATGTTCTGAAAATCCAAAGCCGGTTTGTCTAAATTTAACCACTCGGGTCCCGCCGCACAAAAGGAGCAACTGGGCGAAAGCGGACGCGGTACTGGAACAAAATGCAGCTCTTTGTTGTTGTTGTTGCTGTTCTTGAGACTGATTGTAAAACCTCTGCTGCTGATGAAAAGAAGGAAAACTGAAACTCGGCGAAGGGGCGGATACGATCTGTCAGGGTGGTTCATATTCTTCAGGTTCTGGAGTAGCCGTGGCGCAAGTGTACAGGTCACGTATGCGTGATGCTAATGTATGTAGGGCGGCACGGTATATATTTATAGACCGTGATTTGATTAAAACTGTGTAGGCTGATCCGAGCCGGAAGAACAGCCATATATTTCAAATCAAAGTGCGCTTAGTGAGAAGACGAGATACAGAATAACTTGCGTGAGCCAGGTTAAAAGGGGGTTAACAGCCGAGGGGACATTTAAAACGTAGTAATTCAATTCTAGAAACGCCCATATTTAAGCGGTCTCCCGGAAAGGACCAAGTTTTTTAGGAAAAGGAAACGGCATCATCCACTATGGTCCTGGGTGACCCAGACGCTGGGAAGATGCTCTCGGCCGCGGCGGCGAGGGGAGACCTTCTCGGGGTTCGGAGGATGTTGCAGAAAGGGGTACACCCCGACACCCCCAACGAATTTGGGAGAACCGCCCTGCAGGTGAGGAGGGTGTTTGACCGTGATGGTTCAGTTACATCTCATGAGAAATCTTGTGCAAGGGATGGGGGATGGGGGGTCAGTCAGGGGTCCTCAAAGAAAATCTGCCCCTTAGGAAAGGGGGGGAACCCCAGAAACAGATCAAAGAAAACGGCCATTCCAAGGGATCTGCTGTGACAGTGCGCGTGGCGGTGGATGGAAGCACCTTGATCTGTTGTGTGCAGCTGTTTGACTTCCTGTGATTGTCCCAGATGGGATATCATGGGATATATATGGGATGCTTTGCACGCAGGCGAAAAACATAAGACACTACACAATGCATTGAACGCAACATAATCCCATTAACAAATAAGACAGGCACGCATAAATGAGACAGAAAAAATAACAATAAAGTAAAATATACAGTTGTCCAAATTAAGCATGTTAACAGCTGAGGAAATAAAAGATAATTTAGTTCTATTGCAGTGGAATCTGGGGAGTCTAAATTGATGCCCAGATGGAAGGAGTTCACACTCACTGTGCAAGGGGCAGTCATGACCGTCAGTGATTATTTCTGCACTGTGTGTTTGGGTACAGTAGATTTCTGACAGCTGTCGCTGTCGTCCTCCAGTAATGTTGCTGGCTACCTTCACACTCCTGCTCAGTGTGTTTTTATTGCGTGGATGCTTGTTGCACTGTGTAGAAAGCGTAGAGCACTTGGAACCTAGCGTTGGTTATTGCACTTAATTGTGTTTTAGAAAACAAAAGAGTACTGGAATTACTGTTTGAAGTGATGAGGTGATAAAACCGATGCGATCTGCAGTGTATGAATTCTGCTATCGTGTGAACCAGTATTTCACCTTAAGGGGTTGATGTTTTTGCTAACGCACATCTAGTCTAAGAAAAAGAAAAACAAGCTTGTCAGTTTTTCTCTTCCTTCTAAGGCTCACTAAGTAAACTTGTTCTGTCAATCATGTGATAATAAAAGTAAAATTCGGAAGGTAGAGCTAGCTAGTTGAGGATGAAAACCCTCCTAGTATATTATAAATAAGATGATCTGTAGACTAACTGATGGCATTTGAAGAACAGATTGTTACTGGTATTGTGAGCCAATATCCACAGGGCTCTCCTTTAATCCCAACCCAGATTACACAGGTCATTAGAAGATTTAATCACCCAATTAAAAGTTTTAGTCATGCTTTGGATTAAGTTGTATAGATGAAGATTTAATATTATTATAATAAGCCATTTGATATACGTTTCCACTGAAGTTCGGTATGTGATGATTTTAGAGCAAGGGTACAGTTAACTCTTATACAGGTGTAGTATAATGTACTGTTATAGTTAGAGTAAATGTTGACCAACTCCTTCTGTAGCTAGTGTCGACACCTGCAGTTCCCTGAGCGTGGAACCAAGTGGGAGAAAAGTGTAAAAAAAATGGTTGTTTGCAGAGCTGTAGGTTGTCTGTGAGACATGTTGATCAAATAAATCGCAAGGTTTACTTTAGGTAATTAATTTCTGGGTAAATCATTAAGAGGCCAGGAAAGCAGGATGGAAAGAGAGGAGAGGACAGAAAGCAAGAAACGGGAGAGGAGGGGGAGACACCGGAGGCGAGAGGTGTTTGTTCACATCAAACTCAAAGCCCAGCTTCTCGTTCAGTATTTGAATTCTCTTAAGGAAACCTGCTGTTCTGTTGTTTTTGCGAAAATCCGATTTCCTGCATTAAGAATCCCCTGGTTAAAAATGACCTCTCCTGGTTATGAATGCATGTTTTAGAATAGGGAGCTTGGTTTCCATTTGCTTTGTAGCACTCAGTTTTACATATAAAGAGAGAGAATAGCTGCTAGGTGATATTTTGTTTGGCTTAGAAGAAAGGTTTCTCTCTCCTTTTGGCCTGTGTGGGGGTTTAACAGTCTGTTTAGGACTTGGTAACAGTCTGTGTTTTTCTGATTGGTCAGGACATGGGCTTCTGAGACACCTTGCTTGAAAGATAGAGTAATTTGAATGTTGTGATGTGTGTTGTGTAGTGTTTTCTTATTGTAATAAATACTGTTTATTCAGGTTTGCCTCTGATTTATTACTCCTTCGCCAAAGCTGTGCCAGAGAACAAAGATCTTAAGGGCCTCAGATTATGCCAACTGCGTGGGTAAATTCTTGGCAGACCTTTTGCAATTTGTGGGTTATCCATTTTCTGTAGTATTCCATTTTTATAACAATACTATAAGTTATATAACTGAACATAAGATGATTTATTGCATCCTATAAAACCTCAGTCTGTTCTAGATTGATCATAACTGCAGTTCCCATACTAAAACAATTTAATCCAAAGCGTTACAAACATATCAGGCTTCATTAAGAGCAAAAACAAACAATGCTGTTAGCGTGCTTCATTTTTTTCTTGTCTAAATGTAAAACATTGTTTTTTAAAACATTTTTTCGGTGTACTAGATTCATTATGTAGTTTTGTATTGTTTAACAAACGGTATGTTTATTTTTTTTCAAAAACAATATACGAAGGTCATGTATTGTTTTTCAATATGCAATATACGGTTATAAAATGTTATAATTGCTGACAGATCATTAATAGTAGTAATTTCCTTTTACTAATCGTAGTCTTCCTTGAATCTGTCCGACCGTCACGTGCTCCAGGTGATGATGATGGGTAGCAGCGCTGTGGCTCGCGAGCTGCTGGAGCGCGGCGCGGAGCCCAACGTGCGGGACCGCCTCGGGATCACGCCCGCGCACGACGCCGCCCGCACCGGCTTCCTGGACACGCTGCGGGTCCTGGTGCAGTTTGGAGCTGCGGTCAACGTGCCGGACCGGTCCGGGGAGCTGCCTCTCCACGTCGCCATCAGGGAGGGGCACGCCGACGTGGCGGGGTTCCTGGCGCCCCTGTCCAACCTCTGGCACCACGAGACCTGCGGGGAGACGGCCCTGGGTAGCGCGCGCCACCGCTGCCGGCCAGATGTTGTGCAGCTGTCGGAGCGCCGGTTGGCTTCCAGCCTGACCTTTCGCTCAGACCTCGTGGCCTCCCCAGCGCCATGTCTTTAACATGATCATTTTTAAACAAACACTTTTGAAACGGACTCTATGGGGTTTACATAAAAGATACAGAACTTTAACTTGAAAAGACAGAAATACATTGCACTATTTTGCGTACTGCAGTATGGGTTTCAGCCCATTGCAAAACTAACCACAATTTCTGCAATTACTAAAAGTGATGCTTGTTCCTTGTGTCGAGCTCATTCCGCCTTTTTCGAGTCTTTGTCTAGATGCATATTATCATATATTCTCAGGTTTTCTTATTATATATATTAAGATTCGCAAAGCAGTTTGACCAAACCGGCCGTATAGGATGTTTAAACGTTAGTTTTCATTTAGATGAAAATGTCGCACTAGTATTTAAGAACGTATCGCAGTACTTATCAGTACTAAAATCGTGACCCTGAGCCAACGTCGGCTGTACAGTTTACAAGTGTGTCACATTGTGCATTTTAACACGTCTTGTAAACACCTCGATGAAATCCTTCGAAACTTGTATTACTGTTTCGTGGGTAATGGTCCGCGAAATTAATTTAAACTTGTTTTCTCAGTACCTCACAAGTTTGTAGTTTTAAGTTTGATATACCTCCCACCATGATTTCTAGGATTTTGTACATTAACATTTTTAAAGGGTGTTACTGTTGTTAGCGTTGTATTTATTTTAAAATATATCTGTTTTACAAAGGTTTAATCAAGAAAATATTTAATGCTGGGTTTTGAAAAAAATATTTATTTGAGATGACGTTAATATACTTATGAACTTATATACTTGTAATTTTAAAGGGTATAATAAACAGTTTGGATGTATTTAATTTGACGTAGTCCTGTATATTTATGGTTTACTGCACAAATAAAGCTCAGCAGGTATGAGCCTGGTCAGTACCTGGATGGAGACCTCCTGGGAGAAACTAAGGTTGCTGCAGGAAGAGGTGTTCGTGGGGCCAGCAGGGGGCTCTCACCCTGCGGTCCATGTGGGTCCTAATGCCCCAGTATAGTGACGGGGACCCTATACTGTAAAAAAGGCGCCGTCCTTCGGATGAGACATAAAACCAAGGTTTATTAAAATCCCAGGGCGTTTCTAGAAAAGAGTAGGGGTGTAACCCCGGCGTCCTGGCTAAATTTCCCATTGGCTCTTGCCAATAATAATCCCCATCTATGAATTGGCTTCATCACTCTGTTCTCCTCCCCACTGATAGCTGGTGTGTTGTGAGTTCTGGTGCACTATGGAGGGGAGTCCCCATTAGCTGTAAAGCCCTTTGAGTGGAGTATCCAGAAAAACGCTTTATAAGTGTAAGTAACTATTATTAATTAAATAAAAAAGCAGGTCCACTCATTGTCGGACTGTTGCTTTAAAAACATGACGCCAGCGGATTCTTTCTGATTGGTTGTTGATCGTCCTTTACACTTTGCACTCTGACCTCGAGTCTTGTGCCCACGTGGTCACGGTTTCCCATGTGAGAGAAATCTCTTCCCCTTTGGCAAATATCTTAAAAATAAATTAATCTCCGTTCATTCTTTAATTTTTTATGTTGGGCTAGCAGTGAAAATTAAAGGATAGATGATATGTCGGACAAAGTCGAATTTAAGATCAACAAGAAATTCGCAGAGAAGTACGAGAAATACAGACAGAAGGAGGAGTTGCAGAGACGTGAGTATTTCGTATTTTAGTAGTTTTAAGTAGCATGACATTATAGACACTGTGCTGCTAAATGTAGTATTTTGGGAGAGAGTATGCGATTAAAAATCATTTTATGTGATCTTTTAAAATAGGCTTTTGTTTTAATTTACTACACAATGGGCTAATCACAGTTTTAAGTGTACAGAGCGATTTTTTCATTTTTCTCTTTGTAATGGAACTATTTCCCCCACATTTAATACAAATTGCACGTCGAACAGTGCCAGAATTTGTAGAGCGACTATCTGAATACTGTGATAAAACGCGTTTTTATGCGCTTTATTTTCTCATTGCAGTGAAGGATCGCTATGGCAATCAAGGCGAGGACAGCCAGTCCGGCTCCTCGGATTCGGCATCGGACGACAGCGATGTGGTCAGTGTCGGACCGCGGCTTTTATCTGTGTCTGCAGAGCCTTTGTACGATTTCGTTCGGGTTCCCCCGTCTTGTGTAAAGATGGCTTAAGCGTTCTTTCACGTGGCCGCTTTTCTGCGTTCTGTTCTGTTCTAGTTTGTTCTTTGTGTGTCTGGACTGTGAGTAACTCTTTTAGTGCATCCCTCACTGTACTGATTGTATTGTATGTATTGTACGATGATGATGATGATGATGATGATTATTATTATTATTGTATCATTCGTTACACTGTGGCTGTGTTGTCTGTGTTTAGCTGCTGTTGCACTGCAATTTCCCTCACGGGATCAATAAAGTATCTATCTTATCTAATTTGTTCACATTACTAGCTAATGCGTTAAATTCACAGTTCACCATGAAACCGGTATAGACGCTCACAGACAACGGGCTCCTTTATCACCCAGATCGTACTTAACAGAAGGCACAAGCATGCACACAGGTGCTGCCAGTATTGTTGAAGTATCCTGGGCGTTTCTGTGGGCCGCATGCGCATTTCGGGAGGGGGCTACAGATTTCCAGGGGATACTGAACTGGACACCACCCCGGAAATGATTTGGGTGTTCGCATCAGCTCAAAGCTGTCTATTAAGAAATTGAAATGATTCTTTATAAAAAATACTTTTTTTTCCATTAAGATCTTCATGTTTCAAACTACTTCAGACGCCGTTGAATTTTGGGAGACGTTCTGCCACAGCTGTTAACTTCTAATTCTCCTAATGATACCTTTTCCAAAATTATTATAATGCTTGTATCGGAGTAATAGGATACAATACTGGTGATAACGTGTTTTTCGTTTTGCTAACGCGATTTGTTGTTTCACCCCGGGTAAGCTTGTAACTGCAGTCATTTTATAAAAAGTTTTTGTTAATGGAGTTTGTCACAAACATCCTTAAATTGTCGGACAAATGAAAATGAATGTCACAATTAAATATTGACCTACAATTCAGTGATTTCTACGAATACATACATGATTTAAATAGCTCTAAATGACCTGAAATGTTACTATGTATCAGTCCTGATCTAAATTGAGGTTAAATTTGTGTGTGTGTGGGGTTTAGGAGCTGGACCCCAGGCTGGAGAGAGACTTCTACAGAACGCTGTCCCTGCTCAAGAAGAAGGACCCCAGGGTCTACCAGAAAGATGCCAGCTTCTACTCCGACAGAGGTGCGTGTGAGAATGTCAGAAAGATGACAGGAGAAAGGAGCCCATGTGGTCCATCCAGTCCGTTTGGTAGTGATCCTAGCGTCTCATCCAACTGGCTTTAACAACATGGCCGGGCGGCTTGTTCCAGACTTCCACTACCCTTTGTGTAAAGAAGTGCCTCCTGTCCTGACTGGAGGATCTCATCCAGCTGTGTCTGGTATAGGATTCAACAACATGGCTGGGCAGCCTGTTCCACACTCCCTCCACCCTTTGTGCAAAGAAGTGCCTTCTGTCCTGACTGGAGGATCTCATCCAGCTGTGTCGTATAGGATTTAACAACATGGCTGGGGAGCTTGTTCCAGGCTGTATATTTGGTTGCTGTGTGTGCCGAATTAGCCCATCGGCAACCCCCAGCTAGTGAGTTAGTGCAACTGAATTGCCTCAGTAGCGACTCTCTCATCCTGTTCCTTCCCCTCCAGAGTCGGACTCAGCCAGTGAAGAGAAGGCGAGGAGCTCAAAGAAGACCGAGAAGCCCATGTACCTGAAAGACTACGAGCGGAAAGTCATTCTGGAGAGGGCGGGGTGAGAGACTCTGTTAAAAGAAAAGGCAAAAAAAATACACAAACACTTTAATTCATTGGTTAACATGATTTATTTTCGCATCTTGCAAAAAGGAAGACAGAGCATATTTACAATAGCTCAGTGTGAATAATAATAATCCTCATACTTGTATAGTGCTTTTCTGGACCCTCCACTCAAAACACTATATAGGTAATGGGGATCCCCTCCACCACCACCAATCTGCAGCCCCAACTGGATGATGTGACGGCAGCCATAGTGCGCCAGTACGCTCACACTCAGTGGGGAGGAGAACAGAGTGATGATGCCAGTTCAGAGATGGGGATTATTAGGAGGCCATGATTGGTAAAGGCCAGGAGGAAATTTGGCTAACGTTTTTAATAACCTTGGTTTTTTTATCTCAGCCGAAGAGCAGAGCCTCTTTAAACTGTATAGTGTCTCCATCACTATACTTAGTTTTTCCCAGGAGGTCTCCCATCCAGGTACTGACCAGGCTCATACCTGCTGAGCTTCAGTGGGCTGCCAGCTGTGAGTTGCAGGGTGATACACTTGCTGGCTGTGGAATCTCTTTATAGTCTGAAGTTTTGTTGTTTTGTATTAAAAAGCACCATGAGGTGTATGCCCACAGCACTGGGGTCCTGGGTTCACTTCCAGACCTGGGGTGCCACAGAGTTTGTATGTCCTCCCTGTGTTCATTTGGGTTTCCTCTGGGTGCTTTGTTTTTCCTCTCACAGTCCAAACACATGCTGCTAGATTAATTTCCTTCAGGAAAATGGGCCCTGGTGTGGGTGCGTGCTTCTCAGTGTAGTTCTGCGAGTGCCTTTCTGTGAATGCAGAAGAATTTTGATCACATTTTCTTATCATTAGCTGTGTGAAAAGCATCAGGAAAAGAATCAGTGGTAAGCACTGCTGTCTCATAGCACTGGGGCCCTGGGTTTCCTCTCCAGGGTGTGTGTCTGTGTGCCCTGTGATGGACTGGCATCCTGTCCAGGGTGTGTGTGTCTGTGTGCCCTGTGATGGACTGGCATCCTGTCCAGGGTGTGTGTGTCTGTGTGCCCTGTGATGGACTGGCATCCTGTCAAGGGTGTGTGTGTCTGTGTGCCCTGTGATGGACTGGCATCCTGTCCAGGGTGTGTGTGTCTGTGTGCCCTGTGATGGACTGGCATCCTATCCAGGGTGTATCCTGTCTTGCACCTTTTGCTTGCCAGGATTCGTTGTGACCCTCTATTAGAAGAAGTGGTTAGAAAATGGATGGATGTATGAATGAAAAACGCACAGTGAGTGCGTGGGGGTGTCAGGATTGGAAGCTGACTGTGTCTCTGTCTGTCTGCACTGCAGCAAATATGAAGACGAGGAGGAGGAGAGCGATGATGAGGAGGTGAAGAGGAGGAAGGAGGTGAGGGGGTGCATGGTGGAGATACATTATGGGGTACACCACGGTGAGAGCAGAGCATGGGGCAGCCCTGCTGAACGCATGAAGAGGCTGGGAGATGAGGTGCAGTAGAACTCAGTGAGAAACACAGGGAGAAGCACAGTCAGGCCGTGACTCCAGTGTGGGAAACTACGCTAGCAGCTTTGAGAGAGCCGCTCTGAGATGTTTTAAAAGGGTCGGCACTCCCTGCGCTGTCAGGCCAAGGAGAATTCCTGGCCCCCCGGGGCCTGGAGATGTTCTTTATACCGGCAGCAGGTGTTTGAAGTAATCGCACCTGGTTTAGAAGCGCCACTCGTTCAAGTCCCAGCTTTCTGGGCTGCCTGGGGAGATCGAGGACCAGTCCCCGACACGCCCACCCTTGCGCCCTGGGAACCCCGTGGCCCCTGACTGGGGGAGCGGTGTGGCGCGTCTCTCGCTGACATCACCTGCAGGCGCCTGGTCGGTCCGAAAAGTCTTATTTGCTCGGGTCTGCCAGCCGTGAATCCCCGCGCGATCCCAAACTCAGAGTTGTGACCTCAGGGCCAATAGAGCTCGACTTGAGGTCCGAGCCTCCGTCTTGACTGGTTGAGCCACTATGGAGCGCGGTTGGGGGGATTCGGTGCCTTCAGGCTAGGCCTGAAAGGTAAATGGAGCATCAGCCATTCAGCCTGGGCCCGGCTGCGATGCCCCCTGCTGGTGTCTCTTCTCCTCGCGCAGCAGCAGCCTGACGCCCGTGTGTGTGTTGTCATTCCAGAGAGCCGCCTGCCCCAGCTACATCCAGGAGCAGAAGCAGCTGAGAGACAGGTAGGGTCTGGCTGTGCACGAGTGGGCCACTCCGTTTTTCCTCTTATTGATCCTGCCGCTAAAGTTCATTGCAGACGATTAAAGTTTGGGAGGAAAGAACAAGGCTCGACCATGAAATAGAATGAAGATGTCTTGTGTATCGTATTTTAGAGTTACTGCTTGAGTAGAATGTTATTATTATCATCAGTCTCTTAGCAGGTGCTGCTGTCCAAAGCAGTGTAGCGAGACTTAGAGGGGTTGTCTAGCCTCAGAAACTTCTACAGGGTTGTTGATAACCCCATGTCAACGTGACTGATTTTTCTTTGCTCTTGAAGCAGTGCTGCAAGCCGATGCTAGATCTTCTTCCAAGTTCTGAAGCAGTCACCCATTAATAACTCCTTACTGAAATATCTGGACCTTTGGATAGGTGGATATGAGAAATGCAATAATGCCCCCCCCCCCCGCTCCTTCCCTCCCTCTTGTCCTCCTGGCGTCCACAGTTTCCGGAAGTTCGTGGAGGACAGCGATGACGATGGCAGCAGCGAGGGCGCAGAACTGTTGACTCGGAGAGTAAAAACCCAGGAGGAGAAGGTAATTCAGTCCGTGGCCAGTAGAGGGCTATGTAGCTACACCAATTTAATCCAGCTCTAATGAGCTTCGATCCTGGAGAGGATCAGTTCGCTTCAATTCATGGGTCACCAGTTTGTAAAGGTCCCACCTTTAAATAATTGAAGTCAGTGATCGAGTTCAGTTAAGACTGGCCTGGAGAGGAGAAGGGTTCGTCTCAGGGAAAATCACTCCCAGGACCAGATATAGACCATCTTCAGGTTTATTCACTGCAGCTACTGCAGGGGCAGCTTGACTGGGTTTTACCCCCAGGGGTTCTCCTTGAGTGATCACTACCTAGCACACTGATACCAAACCTGAAGGTTTTACAACACCTTGGAGCAGCCACACCACAGCAGCTACAGAGTGCAAGTTCTCTGCAGTTTAATTTATGTTACTTGCTTAACAAAATTCCTATTGAAGCTGTATTTCCTGAGATAGATAAGAGAGTAAGGCCTGTATTCAGTCATCTTTCCCCTCTATGTGACCTGACCTCTGACCTCTGGCCAGTGTTTTCACACCCAGGAAAGGCTGAGACTGAGGTCCTGTCTGTGCTGGTCTTCCACAGGACAAGGAGGAGTCTGATTACGTGGAGTGGCTGAAGGGGCAGGCGGAGCTGGAGGAGGCTGGTGGGGTCCAGGACATGGTGAGTGCATTTATTTTCAGTATCTTCGCTGTTTTTTCTGGATTTACATGAGCAGTCACCTTGGTTTCTGAGTACCAGCATGGGGTGTTCACGGTAGGGTTGGTTTCTGTCTCACTGTGTCTGTGTGTGTGAGACAGAAGTACCTGCGGGATTACTGGAACGACCCCCAGCTGGATGAGAAGGAGCGCTTCCTCAGGGATTATATCCTCAACAAGGGTTACCTGGGTGAAGAGGAGGAAGAGAGGTATGTGGTACAGCTCTGTCTGCACTGCCTGAACCCCCTGACCCGGCTCTG